CCTAATGAATTACCTTTTGTATAATAAAGTATTTTGAACTTGAATTTAAATTTTTTGAGTAGGTACATCACATTTACAAGTGAAAAACAAAATGCAATATCCTGCAAATATCTATATTACATTTTTGATAACCTATTAGATTTTGATTATTTGTTATTATGTTTGTCTATATTCTAGTTCCGAGAGGGTGGGGAAGACTGGTGTCGGAGGAACTCTACTTACTGAAGCAAAATACATCAATTTATCACTACACTACCTGGAACAGGTATGTCTTATTATCACAATTACATTTAAGGTGTTATAGCTTGTATAATATCCAGAAAAATCTTAATTTTAATATTTAGGTATGAAATAAACATTGGTGGCTGCAGAAATTGTCAATATGGGGGCCGACAAGTCCAACAGAGTGTCTAAAACAAGACTGTTGCCCAGTTACATGTATTTAAAAGTTGATACTATTGGTGAAGTTAATAATAAAGATACAAGTGTGAATTGGTTTATTATGTGGTCCCAACAGGTGATTGTAGCTCTTTCAGAGAAAACACGGCAGCACATCCCATACCGGAACTCAATGATGACATCGGTACTTCGGGACAGTCTTGGAGGAAACTGTATGACAACAATGATTGCTACTTGCTCGGTTGAGAAAAAGAATATTGATGTAAGTTTTATCAATTCCGTGTTAAGGAATCCTTTTACATGAAAATATCAAAATAATATGATTCTGATAATATGATAACATTGTTATTACGAAATAATGTTTGCATTACCTGACGTATTATTGTACTGAATGCTCAGTACGTTCCTAAATGCGTGCGAAAGAAATCTTCCAGATTACTAACCTGGTGACTTAACCAGTAGACCACCGAGCTTGGCTTGATGGCTAATGATGAACCCAAGTAGCAGTGGGTACTGTAATGTTATTAACAACACTTTCGAAAGTTCCAAAGTGCTCCTATACTTATTATATTCTAAGGATGTTCTTTCAAGAAGCTTTTAAATCTCATACCAATTTACCATTTGTATATATACCGGTACATTCTTTTTAGGAGTCTATTTCAACCTGTCGGTTCGCTCAACGTGTTGCTATGATTAAGAATGATGCCCTTCTGAATGAAGAAATTGATCCAAAATTGGTAAGAGGAGTAATTTTATTGTATCATTAAGTGAGCTTTATTTCTTTTCTGACTGTTTCATTGATTTAAAATTATTGATAAATCGAGGTATAATATGATATAA